ATACGAGATATATAGAAATATCTCGTAATACCCTCCCTCAAGTTGGCGTGTGCAAATCACAAACATCCAACTTGCCAATGAACCATTTAAACTCTTTACGTCTGAGAGCCTTCGTAAAGATATCAGCAAGTTGTTCGTTGGTCCGAACATGAACTATGACAATAGTACAGTTAACGACTTCATCACGAACGAAATGACAGTCATTTTCGATATGCTTCGTGCGTTCGTGGAAAACTGGGTTCTTCGCAATATGAATAGCAGCCATGTTGTCGCAATACAGAGGAATCGGCTTGGTGAAAGAAACTCCTAGCAAGATGAGAAGAGCTTTTAACCAAAGTAATTCTTGAACCGTTGCTGACATTGCACGGTATTCTGCTTCTGCAGACGAGTGAGAGTTAACCTGCTGTTTCTGAGACTTCCAGGAGATAGGTGATCCTCCAAGTTGAAACAGCCAACCAGAATGAGATCTTTGCGTAGCCGGACAACTAGCCCAATCTGCATCGCACCATGCAACCAATTCCAGAGGAGCTTTAGCTTTAAGTAATATACCCTGACCATGACTCCCTTTTAAATATCGGACTACCCGTAATGCTGCATCCCAATGATCTTGTTTGGGGTCTTGAACAAACTGAGCAAGTATATGCACCGAATATGCAATATCTGGCCGTGTATTCCCAAGATATATCAGGCGACCAATGAGACGTCTATATGCAGCAGTGTGAGAAATAGTTGTACCTTCAGCAAGAGGAAGACGATGATGTTGTTCGAGAGGAAATGCAGACGGTTTGGCCCCCAAAAGCCCTGTCTCAGATATGATATCTAAGGCATATTTTTGTTGGCTTAGATAAATGCCTTGAGGACTCCTAGCAACCTCAATTCCAAGAAAGTACTTAAGAATGCCTAAGTCTTTCATTCGAAAGCAGGAACTCAAATAGTCTTTGAAACCTTGAATGACTGAAATGGAGCTTCAGGTGACTATCAAGTCGTCGACATAAACCAAAACCATAACTCGCACTTCGTTTCTTTCGTAAGTGAAAAGTGAGTAGTCTGGAATTGCTTGAATAAAACCGTATTCAAGTAAGACCGTATAAAGCTTTTCAAACAAACAGCAGGGGGCCTGTTTTAAACCGTAGAGAGAATTTTGTAGACGACATACTTGGCGCGGATCAGTGCCTTGAAAACCCGGAGGAAGGCGCATATAAACTTCTTCTTTCAAATCGCCATGTAAGAAAGCATTGTGAACATCCATTTGATGCACTTCCCAATCATTTGAAGCAACCACTTGCAGAAAAGATCGAACTGTTGTCATTCTTGCAACAGGAGCGAACGTGTCTTTATAATCTTCCCCTTCAATTTGCTTATTGCCGAGAGCAACGAGCCTAGCTTGATGCCGTTCGAGTGTACCATCAGCTTTGTACTTAAGCTTAAAAACCCATTTACAGCCTATAGCTTTCTTTCCAAGAGGCAAAAGCACGATGGTGAATGTTCCACTTTCTTCCAAAGCATCAATCTCAGAACGAACAGCACCTCTCCAACACTCATCTTTAACCGCCTCTGCATATGATTTCGGCTCAACAGCAGTGGTAATTTGGAACAGGTAATGGCGATGATTTTCTGAAAATCTGGAACAATCAACATACTTATCGATTGAATAATCACAGTTTTCAAACTCGGTGTGCACAACACTGACCGTGTTGAGAACATAGTCAGACAAATAGCTTGGAAGTTCTCGTTGTCGTTGTCCTTTGCCTAGGATTTCTTCTGGAGAACGAGAAGTGGAGACAGGAGTACCCTCCCTGTCGTCGAAACCGTGAAAAACCGGTGGAGTGAATTGTTTGGAAACAAACTTTCTCGAAACCAAAGGAGAAACAGGGGATTCTGATTTTGTTGCTGCAGGTTCTTGCTCTGTCGCTGCAGGTGTTCGTTCGAGTGAAACTGGACTTTGGTCGTTGTCAGAGACCATATCAGTAGTGGAGGGAAGCCGAGAAGGTGCAATAGCTTCGTCAATAACCGGCGTTAACATCAAAGGTGTCGAGTCTGACGGAAGACTTGATGATAACGGCTCTGCTTTTGTCGTGAAAGGAAAATCAGTTTCACAAAAAATCACGTCCCGAGAAATAGAGATCTTTCCAGTATCAAGATCATATACTCTCCATCCCTTTTTGCCATATGGATATCCAATGAATGCACATCGTTTGCTTCTTGAAGCGAATTTGTCTCCTTTATGATCTTGATTGTGAGAGTAGCATAAACAACCAAAAACCCTAAGGTGATTCAGTGGAGGAGTGCGACCATACAATATCTCAAAAGGCGTTTTACCTTGAAGCAGTGGTATAGGAGCTCTGTTGATGAGATATGCAGCTGTGAGGATACATTCTCCCCAAAATTCCAGTGGCAAATTCGCTTGAAAACGCAAAGCTCTTGCAATGTTGAGTATGTGCCTATGTTTGCGTTCAGCTCTACCGTTTTGTTGTGGCGTGCCTACACAGGAGGTTTCATGAACAATCCCATGTTCTTTGAAGAAAGCAGTTTGTGCAAGAAATTCAGTCCCATTATCACTTCTGATTGTTTTAATCTTCTTGTCAAACTGTCTTTCAACCATCGCAATAAAACCTTGTATCATTTTGCCAACATCAGACTTGGTTGGTAAAAGATAGAGCCACAATCCCCGTGAGAAATCATCCAAGATGGTGAGAAAATATTTTGCTCCACAAATTGATATATTGCGATAAGGTCCCCATACATCACAATGTACTAATTGAAACAAATTCGTTGTTTTATTAATACTTAGGGGAAAGGAGTTACGTGTTTGTTTTGCACGTATACAAGTTTCACAAGGCTTATTCGAAGAACTGGGAAGCTTAGAAAATCCAGAAACAGAAAGCAAATCAAATACTGAACTTGAGGGGTGTCCGAAGCGTTGATGCCACACGTCAAAAGAAACTAGCTCCGTCTTGTGCGCTGCAGCAACACTGTCCATCCCTCTGAAAAAATACAAGCCATGGGCCTGCTCACCCGCTCCAATCAGCATCCTGGTAATGCGGTTCTGGATGATGCAAAGCTTATCAGTTATTTGAAACACACAGGTGCTATCCCGGTTGAGCTGAGACACATATATCAAATGACAATGCAAACCATCCACAAACAGAACATTCTGAAGCGTAAGAACTGAGCTCAATTTTACACAACCTTCTCTAGTTGCTAACGTAAGTCTACCGTCCGGTAATTTTACAGCCATTGGAGAGATTTCCCTAATATCAGAGAGAAATTCTACATTTCCGGTCATGTGATTTGTAGCTCCTGTGCCAATGATCCAAGAGAGATTAGGGTACGTACCACTGAGTTTTATGTTTGGCGATTCTTTCTGGTCATTGAGTAGATTCACCAACGTTTTCCATTGAGCATTGCTGAGTCCACTAATTCCCACTCGATCATTGTTGGTGATTACAGCACTTGAAGATCCCCCACCAACTGGATGAACACTCGCCATATGTGCTCGAGGTGGCTCATGAGAACGTCCTTGTGAGGAAAGAGCTTTGCCATGACTCTGGGAAGATTTCCCTTTTTGACGCTCTTCCCACCATGCTGGAAAGCCCACTAAACGGAAACAGTTTGCAGCAAGATGTCCTTTCCGACCACAATGTGAACAGAGTAATTTCTCTCTCTCTTCACGACTGAGAAAAGGAGTCGATCTAGGTGTTGTGTCGCAAACACCATGGTGTCGTGTCTTTCTTCAAGCAAGCGTGCTGCTCCTTTCGAATCTTCTTCTTGCACCAATATCTGATAAGCCTCATCGAGACTAGGCAATGGATGACGAGAAAGAATATTGGATTTGACAGATCCAAAAACACTTTCATCAAGTCCCATGAGAAATTCATGAAGTTTGTCGTTTTCATGTTCCCGTTCAAGCTCAGCACCACTTTTAGCTTGTCGATAATCGCTCAACGAAGTCCAAATGGTCATCATCTTCACGTAATAGGCTTCAATCGTGAGCCCTTTCTGCCGTGCTGTTGCAAGTTCTGCTTTAAGCCGTTGCACTCTTTGTCCGTTTTCACAGAAAAACGTTTCTTTATGTGCTCCCATAGATCTCGAGCAACATCATGGTGCGATATATTTGATCGCACGTGTGGATCGATGCTTACTTTGATCCAAGATCCTATTAATGCATTGTTTGTCAACCAATCTTCTCTGTCTCCGGATTCTACACTTGGCATGGGAATAGAACCATCGACAAAACCAAATTTCTTACGAGCCAGAAGTGCTTGTCGGAAATTTGTTGCCCATTCATCATAATTTGGTCCTCTGAGAAGTGGTTGTGATATCACTGTCCCCGAGTTATCGCTTGGTGACAAGTCATACGGCGATATCGTACGCCGCTGAATATCATCACGATCTTTCTGTTTGGTAACAACAGATGATGTTGACTGAGGTGTACCTTCGGACATTTTGAGAGAAATTTTCGATGATTTAGAATAAAATCACACGGAGTAGGTCAAAGAAAGAAGGAAACGAAAACGTATTTGGTAAGGATCGATAAGCGTATTTGTGCTTACTGCTCTGATAACATGATAAAAACCTTAGTCGTATAAAGGTGTGTATTATTGATGGGAGGAGATGATCCTTATATAGTTGTACAATATGACATAAACGATCAAAGCTTGCAGATCAAGCTGAATCTGAACTACCTTAATTACAACCATAATATATACACGAAAAATATCCGAATAGATACGAGATATATAGAAATATCTCGTCATAAATTAAATTCTAGTGCCTTCTTCTTGTTCTTCTTCTTCTTCTTCTTCTATCGTTAATTGATTTTACTCATCTTCAGAAACCTTGAAAAAACCTTAACCTTATAAAGCTTCACATGTAATTTTAAGCTCTTCTCTCTCTCTCTGTCTCAGTGATGTTTAGCTTGAAATTTTTTTACCGCTGGAACTGAACTAGAATTTATCACTTGTTTTTGTGTCAGCACTTCGTATATCATTGAAATTTTGATGGTTGTTTCTGTAATTTTCAACGTGCATTTTTCTTGAACTTGATGATGCAGATTTAGTTGTGCGAAGAAAGAAAGAAAAAAATGGTGGGTCTAAAGAAAAAAACCAAAGGGTCGAAGGAAGACTTGATAAGCAAGTTACCCGATGCATTGATATCTGAGATTCTTGCTCATCTGCCCACAAAGGATGCTGTAAGAACAGGCGTGTTATCCACAAAATGGAGAAATCTCTGGCAATGTGTTCCTGAATTTGACTTAGACTCCCTAGAATTCTCGAAAGTGGGTGTCTTTGTGAGTCTTGCTAACAGGTTCTTTGATTCACACAAGGACTCATGGATACGCAAAGTACGGTTAAGTGTACATTCTGATGTTATCTCAAATCTCAGCTCATGGATTGATGTTTTGACTAGGCGTGGGATTTTTGCAACTCGTTCTTCATTTGTATGTCTTTAATGACAATATCGTCATACCCCAGAGCATATATACCTGCAAGACTCTGGTTCACTTGCGGCTCTATGGTATGTCCCAGCACAACCCCGAGTATGTTTCCTTACCTTGCCTAAAGATCTTGCATTTAGAAAGTATTGGCTATATCAGTGAGGCTACTCTGGACAAACTTATCTCAGGCTCTCCGGTTCTTGAAGACTTAACCATCTTCAGATGTTTTCATGATGATGGAATGGTTTTACAACTGCGCTCTCAGACTCTAAAGAGAATCAACATATCTGCGCTTACCAATGTTGTGATTGATGCTCCTCTACTCCAGTTTTTGAGGACAATATCGTCATACCCCAGAGCATATATACCTGCAAGACTCTGGTTCACTTGCGGCTCTATGGTATGTCCCAGCACAACCCCGAGTCTGTTTCCTTACCTTGCCTAAAGATCTTGCATTTAGAAAGTATTGGCTATATCAGTGAGGCTACTCTGAACAAACTTATCTCAGGCTCTCCGGTTCTTGAAGACTTAACCATCTTCAGATGTTTTCATGATGATGGAATGGTTTTACAACTGCGCTCTCAGACTTTAAAGAGAATCAACATATCTACGCTTACCAATGTTGTGATTGATGCTCCTCTACTCCAGTTTTTGAGGACTAGGGTACACGCATCAAAGAACTATCGCATCGTCAATTCAGGTTTTCCTCTCAAGCTAGATATCGATGCTTTTTATAGCTGTGCCTTATACAGTATGAGCATGATCGGCGATATTGTAACGCCCCCGACCGCTCATTCTGGCGAGTCACCCATCCCTCCGTCGGGCTCGTGGGCCCTGCTCCTATCCGACGGCCGGTGCGTTATTTTTCCCGGAGCCCAACCGACTTATTTACTGACCCCGCAATCACCACATGATCTTTTCCCGTGTTTTGGCCTTACTCACACGGTTTCGGGAATCACTTCCCGAAAGGTCACCCATCCTAGTCCTACTCCAGCATAAGCACCCTTAACTGTGGAGTTCTCTCGGGACCTGTGACCGAAAAGATAAGTGCACTTTGGTGACATAGATAGCCAAATTATTCTATTTAAACTTATTCAAATGGGACGGGTCCGGGTCGTTACAATTCTCCCCCACTAAACAGAAATTCGTCCCCGAATTCTGATCCCGATAGTGTGAGCCTTAACCTCCAAACTCCAAGACAGTCTCCTGGGACAGAACCAGTTTGACTTCCCAGGCTCTGATACCACTTGTAACGCCTCCGACCGCCCATTATGGCGAGTCACCCATCCCTCCGTCGGCCTCGTGGGGCCCGCCCCTGTTCGACAGCCGGTGCGTTATTTTTCCCGGAACCCAACCGACTTATTTACTGACCCCGCAATCACCACATGATCTTTTCCCGTGTTTTGACCTCACTCACATGGTTTCGGGAATCACTTTCCAAAAGGTCACCCATCCTAGTCCTGCTCCAGCATAAACACCTTTAACTGTGGAGTTCTCTCGGGACCTGTGACCGAAAAGATAAGTGCAATTTGGTTACATAGGTAACCAAATTATTTCACTTAAACTTAATCAAATGGACCGGGTCTGGATCGTTACAGATATCCTCACCGATATTAAGAGGGTCGGGGATCTTGCTATTAGTAGTAAAATAGGGAAGGTATATATACAAATCAACATTTGCGCGTTTTGATGATTCCAGCTCATGTGTGAATACTCGAAATATGAAAAAGTTTCTAACCAAACATTCTTTCTAAATTATGTTTCCAGCTCATGTGTGAATACTCGAAATCAAGACCGTTGTGTCACCTATCCCGTCTGAGTGCAAGATTTTGTAAATCTGATCTACAGATGTTGCCAACACTACTCGAGAGCTGTCCTGAACTAAAATCTCTCGTCTTGGTAGTGATGAATAGCTTTAACTCTTTTCTGAATTACACATTGTTTGTGAAGAGCTTTTTTTGTATCTCTCTCTACTCAAACTTGTTTTCTACTGTTTTGCTTGTTGCAGGAATTGGTTGAAGATAGATCCATGCGTTGTGAGAAGAAAATAGAACCAAAGGTGATGTTTGCAACAGTGCCTCGGTGTTTGTTATCATCGCTAAGGTTTGTGGAAATGACACGTTCGATCTCAGAGTGTAAAGGAGAAATGGAGCTGATAAGATACTTCATGAAGAACTCAACAACCCTGGAGAAACTAGAGCTTGATCTGTACTATACGACGGTAAAGGCAAAATTTGCCTTCTTTACAGAACTCGTTGCAATGCCAAGACGCTGTAGCGCTTGTGAAGTCATTGTTCGTTAGTTTAGTAACTGAAATTGTCTTTGTTCTTTGATTACTGGAAGATATCTTGTTGAACATTTCGTTTAAGGTTTAGCTTCTTTTTTTTTGGGTCGCTACGTTTGCACTATTACGCAAGACAATATGACATCTTCAACAAACTTCTCAAAATCCCAAGATGCTTTGTCACATGTCAAAAGCTGTGTAGTCAAAAGTAGTTGTAACACATGGCATTAAGCCATTAACCATAGTAGAGTCAAAATTGCATTAGACTATTCTATTAGTCTTTGAATTAGTCTTAACAGAATAGAGCATAAAGTTTAATGTTTTCATTTATGTCTCTGTGTTAAGATTGTCTTACGCTTCAATGTTTTTTTTTTAAATGTTTTTTTACCATGGGGCATTTTAAAATATGTGATACATTTTTGGTCATCTCAAATTTGTAAAACATAAAATATATGTTTTCTAATGATATTTACATTCTTAGTAAAAAAAAAGAAGTTTGTTGAGTTAAAAATCCGAATTTGGGGTATATATGAAGGAGAAACAAAGCTAGCAAAATACTTCATAAAGAATTCAAGAATCCTGGAGAAATTAAGTCCACGGTTTGAGAATTATTATAGAGAAAAAAGCAAAGTATTGTATGTAAGACTCCAATAACTCCTTGTAATAGCTAGAGATGTTCTAGTGCATGCGAACTTGTTCTTCATTAGTTAGTAAGACCAACCCCAATGCAAATCTGTAGAGTCTAATAACAAGTTCTTAGTAATATAATTGAATTAATATGATTCAAAAAAAAATATATAATTGAATTAAAAAATTATGTAGAGTGTCTAATATTTTAGACCAACGTCTAAAATAAGATTTTTATTGTTGTTTAAAACAGACAGGTGGTAGAATATAAATGGACAAAAAAAATTAATACAAAAAATGAAAAAAATGAAAAATCTACCATTTATTTTTTCAGTGTTTATTATTAGGGTTAATAGTCCCTTAAGATCCTTACTAATGATATTACTATTAAAGTTGCTCAGTGTTAGAACAACTAAACATTTAAGGTCATTTTAGGCTTCTTAACGACAAGCAATGTCATGTCATGTCATTATGGACTCTTTGTTGTGTTTATCTTGATATGTGTTTCTGTCAAACAGCTATTTAAGTTGGATTGAATTTTCATATTTGAGTTTTTGTTCTTTGTCGTAGCATCTGTGGTTCTTTATCGATATTAGATGTACACGCGGGATACATTGTAATATATATATTTTTAAATGTATAATTAGTATAAAATTTTATTTTAAATATACTGATTGAATAATTTTAATACTGTTAACTATATAAATATATATAAATATTGTTAAAATTAATATATACATTTTTCGGTTATAGTTTTCAATGTTATTTTTATTTTTAAAAAATTCCATACTAAAATTCTTCTTAATTTTATTGTCTTGAACTTATAAAAAAGAAGATTTTTTTTCATAATTTATATTAAAAATAAATAACTTAAGTTTACAAAAAAAAAGTTGTTGCAAGATAAACCAATAACCGAATTATTAATTCTGAAAACAGAAATGATCACTAAAAAAGATAAAGAATAAAAAAAAAATAAGACATAGCACTAATATAATTCTGTTCGGAGTGTATAGGAAAGTATGCTTTTGAGTACGCCTACCTGAACAACAGGAAGAAAGTTACACCAGTGCACAAGGCTAACATCATGAAACTTACAGATGGTTTGCTCTTGGAGTCTTGTCGAGAGGCTGCTAAAAAGTATCCAAGCATCACCTACAATGAAATTATTGTCGATAACTGCTGCATACAACTTGTAGCGAAACAGAGCAATTCGACGTCATGGTATGTTTTATAATCTTTGCACAAATGATTGATTATGTGCTAAATGATGATCTCAAATAGAGGATTCTTCACTTGGAAAATTAGCTTTTCACTACTATTAATAACTCGTATCTATATATAATCTCTTATTGATAAGAATTGTTATTAAATGTTTTGCAGGTAACACCCAATCTCTTGTAAGTGTAGAGAATAGGCGGTCTCTGTTCCTCAAACGTAACAGAATACTTAAGTATCCATCCCAAGGAACCTTTTTGAGACCTGCCCGAAGAGATATCATGTCTGGCCCTGTGACAAGTAAATCAAGTGGGCCTCAAAAATGTTAGACCAACTACTAAAATGCAAAAGAATGTCATGCCAACGTTACATGAGTATAGAAGTGCAAATCACATCAAAGTTAGGTCCATAATACCTTTTTAAACATCACTGTATAATTATTATTTACACACGTCCCCTCGGGAAATATGAGAAGAGGATTAATGCCAGCTCCTTGGACATGGTTCCTTAACCTGATTTACGTGATTCACGTTCCCATGATTAATATGAGTAAATTACGTAATGAATGAGACTTAAAAGGGGGTAAGAATTATGCATACTTTCTCGCTACCATTTCACGATTTTTTTACCTCGGAACGATGGAACCAGATATAAGATGCTCTCCAATATTGTGCTTTGCATAAATCCTTCATATTCAAGGGTGACAAAAATCAAAATAATGCAGGAAAGGTAAACCAGTCACACGCTACCAGAATCAATCATAAAGGCTATAATCACACCCTGAGACTTACCAACCAAACCAATATGATTCTGCATTATAACAGCAAATGCAGTCATCTGCTACAAAACGATGAAATCAATCATTGAAGTATGGTTGGCAACATAGACCTTTTTAATCCAATCACTAAAATCAGCATACGTAAAGGAGATACAAAGTAAAAGTTCTTACAAGGAAGGAAATATGACCTGCTTAGGACGGATGCTAGGCCGTGGCCTGTGATATATGACAACTCCTGTCCACGAGCTGAGAAAAAAGCTGCATATCATTTCCACCAATACCCTCTGGTAATACAGTAAAACACAGTATAAAGTCCAAGATCAAGATAAGGAAGGAAAATATCAACAACGCAGAGGATATACAAAAATCAAGTGGCGTTTGAGCTCAAATCAACACATGCGCTCCAACAATAATTGCAAATTGGTATTTAGCTGATACTTACCAATGCATCAGTCCGTTTCGTCCGTTTCTTTGATCCAGTCCACTACCAAATATTTACAATCCATGTAAATTAATCAGACAGATAAGAAGAATTAATAAATTGATATATTAATTTAATCGATGTACAAATACCATATGAGATTGAGATGCAGCTAGCACTCTCCGCCTCTCTCTGGTTCTGCACCAAACCCATCGTCATAGTTTATAACGCCTTCATCTCCCTTTGTTTCTTCACCGCCACATGGAGCTGACTCTGCCAATCGAAAGCGAAACTTTATGGAAACCCAGAACATGAAATGCAAAAACCTAATGACATTCGAATCTAATTTCATACCAAGGATCTCTGTAGCTGTTGCGTTTATCTTCAGACGGAACAACTCTAGGACCGCCTTCAGATAACACTTCCTTGCAGGTATTAAACAGCCGTTACACCTCCGTTATCTCATCCACCAGAGAATCAGTCTTATTCTGTCAGCATGTCATCATCATCCTCTTAATCTTCTTCTTTTTTTTATTCTTATTATGAGACGCATTAGCAGAACTGGGATTATGGTTCACAATCTTCTCTGAGAAAGCGATAAATCAACAACATCTTAAAAATCAGAAATCATTTCATGAAAGAAATCTACCAAAACAGAAGAGAAACCAGATCGGAATTGAATCAGAAGAGAGGAGATAAACCCAAATCATACTTTGTAAGCTAACTCGAATGAAAGAGAAGAGAAAATAAAATGTGTTTTTGATAATTGTTGAAATTAAATAATTTTAATAAAATCACTGAAAACCACGAGTTTATCGGAATTGTAGTCGTAAGCGTGGATGGATATTGACTGGTTTTGATAGTGATGAGAAGAAACGAAACGTTTAGCAGAATGAAAATTTATTTTAAAAAATTAAAAAAATTTGCTGATGTGTCATGGAAGGAGGTGCTGACGTGTCAGACTCTTGTAAGACACAAGTGGATCTTTATAATATTTATAATAGATGTCAATTTCGGCCCATTTAGAAATCAATCCTAGCCCAAATTTTAGTTTGCCATGTTCGATTTATATATTACCCAACACACTACATATTTAGATTTATATATTACCCACACGACAAAATTTACAAGTCTTGCACACACACAAGTTCCGGCGATTGATTCCCGAGTCCCGTAGGCGACGTCACACTCTACAGTTCCGGAAAGTGGTCACGTTCGGTTCGGTTCCAGTACGTTCTTCTTCTTCTTCTTTAATTCCTCTTATACTGTTCATTAATTTTACTCATCTTCAGAATTAACCTTGAAAAAACCTTAACCTAATAAAGCGACGTCGCATGTGATTATTAGGTTCTTCTCACTCAGTTTTAAGTCTTCCGTCGAATAGCTTTTATCTGGTTCAATTGAATTAATCATTAAATTATTCAGCTCTTCTCACTCAATTTTTTACTAGGTTGTGTCTTCGTATGTCACTTGTTTCTGTAACTTTCAGTTTACAGTTTTCTTGAACTTGATGATGTAGATTCATCGCGTGAAGAAAGAAAAATGGTGGGTCCAAAAAAAAAGCAAAAATTTGTGACAAAGACTTGATAAACAAGTTACCTGATGCTTTGATATCTGAGATACTTACAAATCTTCCAACAAAGGATGCTGTAAGAACAAGCGTGTTATCCACGAGATGGAGAAGTCTTTGGCAATGGGTTCCTGGATTTGACTTAGACTCTCTCGAGTTCTCGAATGTCGATGCCTTTGTGAGTTTCGCTGACAGGTTATTTGATTCAGACAAGGTGTCATCGATACGCAAAGTACGGTTACGTTTGATTGAAGCAGGTCCTAATCTTAACTTATATCTGAGATCATGGATTGATGATTTGACTAGGATTCAGCAGCTCGATCTTCACTTTGTTCTCATTCGTGGCGATAACGTGATACCACAGAACACATATACCTGCAAGACGCTGGTTCACTTACGGCTCAGTTGTTTGTCCCGACTCAACCCCGAGTCTGTTTCCTTGCCTTGCCTAAAGATCTTGCATTTAGAAAGTATTGGCCATCTCAGCGAGGCCACTCTGGAGAAACTTATCTCAGGCTCTCCGGTTCTTGAAGACTTGACCATCTTCAGATGTTTTCATGATGGTGAAGTGGTTTTACCTGTGCGCTCTCAGACTCTAAAGAGAATCAACATATCTGCGTTTACCAATGTTGTGGTTGATGCTCCTCTTCTCCAGTTTCTGAGGACTAGTGTTTCCACAACTAAGAACTATACTATCATCAATTCGAGTTTCCCTCTCAAGCTAGATATCGATGCTTTGAATATCCGTGCCGTATACAGTAAGAGCATGATCGGAGATATCCTCACTGATATGAAGAGGGTCGGGGATCTTGCTATTAATAGTGAAATGTGGAAGGTATATATATACAAATCAATATTTGAGCATTTGATGATCCTTCCACGAAAAAGTTTCTAACCAAACATTCTTTCTAAATTATGTTACCAGGCCATCTGTGTATACTTGAAATCAAGACCGTTGTGTCATTTTCGACAGTTATTTCGTCTGAGTGCAAGATTTTGTAAATCTGATCTACAAATGTTACCAACCCTACTTGAGAGCTGTCCTGAACTAAAATCTCTCGTCTTGGTAGTGATGAATAGCTTTATAACTCTCTTCTGAATTACACATATTGTTTGTGAAGAGCTTTTTTGTTTTGTATCTCTCTCTCTACTCAAACTTGTTTTCTACTTTTTTGCTTGTTTTTTTTTTGTTTTGCAGGAATTGGTTGAAGATAGTTTCATGCGTGGTAAGAAGAAAATAGAACCAAAGGTGATGTTTGCAACAGTGCCACGGTGTTTGGTATCATCGCTCAGGTTTGTGGAAATGAAAGGTTCGATCTCAGGCTATGAAGGAGAGATGGAGCTAATAAGATACTTCCTGAAGAACTCAACAATCCTGGAGAAACTAAAGCTTCATCTTTACTATACGACGGCAAAGGAAAAATTTGCCTTCCTTACAGAACTCGTTGCAATGCCAAGATGCTGTAGCGCTTGTGAAGTCATTGTTCGTTAGTTTAGTAACTGAAATTGTCTTTGCTCTTTGATTACTGGAAGATATCTGATAGGCTCAAGGTTCCACTGGCGTTCATGAGGAAGAAGCCACGCACGAAAGGGAGGAAAGCTCGGGCTTGGGAGAAGAGTGGCTAAGGAAAAGGAAGGAAGAAGAAGAATAAAGACTCTAGTTTGAAGAGAGGGTCTTAAGTGTTAAGTTGCACTGTCGTTTTAATCTTGTATCGAGTTATGCTTTGTATTTAAGGAACAGTGAACTCATTAGGGTTGTTATCTTATGAAGATCAATATTAAAATATCTCTTCTTATCTTATCTCTATTCTTCTATCTCTTATCCCCCTTTCTTATTATCCGATTTATAACTTAGGTAAGCTTCGTGCTTATCAATATCTTGTTGAACATTTCGTTTAAGATTTAGCTTCTTTTTTTGGGGGGGGGGTCGCTACGTTTGCACAATTATGCAAAAGACAATATGGCATCTTCAAAAAACTTCTTAAAAATCCCAAGACACTCTATCACATGTCTAAGTCCTCGTATCACATGGCTTTGACCAGTACAATATGTGAAGCCTATTGAGTCATATTCCAGTAGTAGCTCATTGACTTTATTAATCTTTTAATTACAGTAAATATAAATATAATTTAATCTTAGTTTGGTTTTTCTTAATAATGTGCTATTTGAAATATAATAAAAATTTCAATGCAAAAATACAAAAATCGAAATTTGGGTTTTTAGATCATACTCCAAGTAATACCTATAGATGCTATATAATAGTGCATGTGAAGTTGTTCTTCTTTAATTAGTAAAGGACAGTGCCTCTGTAAAACAGTTTAGATAAGTTGGATTGAGGTTTTATGTATTTGATTTTTAGTATGACATGTCATTTACGGCCCATATAGAAATCAATAGTTAGCCCAAATGGAGTTGACATGTTCGATTGTTGGGCTTTTGTAACAAAACACACTCTATGGGAATCTCTATTAGCCAGATTGGAATACCTGCGATACTTACTCATCTCCCCCACAAAGGATGATGTAAGAACAAGCGTGTTATCCACCAGATGGAGAAGTCTTTGGGTTCCAATAAGCCCTATTGGAATCGAAAAACTTGTTACCAAAAGTCATCTGGTGAATCAAGGAATCCTCTAGAAAACGATTTCAATGCCTTTGTGACTTTTGGTGACAGGTTTTTCGATTCGAAGGGGGCTTCATGTATACAGAAACTTGAGTTAGAGATTGATGTAATGGATGTCTCTGATCTCAAGTCATGGATTGATGACTGGTTAAGGCGGAAGATCCTAGATCTACATGTTCGGTGAGATCTAGATGAGTATTTTTGTAAAATTCCCATGAGCCATATCCTGGAGAGGAGTCAGAGATTAAAGGAAGTATGAATGGTAATGCAATCGTCTTTCGCGCGCTCTCTAGGTCATTGAGGATTACACTCTTCTATGGATGGTTTAGGTTCAGGAGTTGTGATTGATGCTCCTCAACTACGCTTTTTTAGCATAAGTGATAGCCCATCAGAAAGGTTTGTAATAACCAATATAGATTCCAGTGCTAGGTTAGATCTATCTCTCACCTTTGGTTTGGAGGATTTTGATGAAGCAAGCGTTTCAATTTAATCCCCCTTTTTTTTTCCCAGCCTCAGGTATGCGATGAATGAAATATGAAATATGAAATATCACACGAGAGAAAAGGGTTGGACCGTGGAGGTAAAGGCCTGAGACCAAAGATTGGCGAACAAGGTACGTTCTCCTTCTCCTTCTTCGTTTACCGTTCTCTGATTTCAATAATCGTTGGAAATCCTTAAAAACCCTAGCTTCCATGTGAGTTTAGTTTCTCTCTCTCTCTTTTAGTCTTTTCTTCGTTTACCGTTTTCTGTTTTAAATAATCGTTGGAAACCCTTAAAAACCCTAGCCGCCAAGTGAGTTCAGTTTCTCTCTCTCTTTTTTGTTTTCTTCTTTTTCTTCTGGCGACATATTGAGTCTTTTCGGTTGATTTTAATATCCTTTCTTTTGAGTTTGATGATTGCTACAATTTCTGCAGATTAGTTTCAACCGAAGAAACAAGAACATGGTTGGTAGAAGGAAATCGAAAAAGGCTCGTTCCAGAGAGCTGAATCGGGGATCGAAGGAAGATAGGATAAGTCAATTACCTGATCCTTTGATCTGTCACATTCTTTCGTATATTCCCATAAAAGAAGCTGTTAAGACGAGTATTATGTCCACAAGATGGAGAAGTCTTTGGCTGTGGGTTCCTTGTTTGAAACTCAACTCCGAAAAAACTTTATATTCCAATGTCGCCAAGGCAGATATCTCTCTCATCACCTTTGGCATGGAAGTTTTTGATGAAGCAAGCGTTTCATCAAGGAGAAGTAGTATCCTCGGTTTAATCCCCGTGATTTCAAAGGTCATGGATATGACAATATGTAAACACACTTTCAAGGTATACACATACATAATGTGATTTATAAATGTCAAATTTTCCTATCATGAAAGTTTCTGAGTTTTCTTCTTCTTGGTTTCAGCTCATCTGTCAATCCTCGAGATTAAAACCACTGCCTAAGTTTGGTTATATGTCCCGTCTGCATATCAACCTCAGGCTATCCGGTTTAAATCGGTTACAAAATTTTCTCAAGAGCTTCCCAAACTTGAAATCTCTCATCTTGGTGATGATATGTTAATTATAAACCCTTTTAAGTTTTTTGTTCTTTCTTCTTTATGAAGATTCCACGTGATCTTTTTTCATAATGCGTTTCGTTTTAATCTTTTTTTTTCTTCTATTTTTGTTCTCAGGCATGGCATGGTCATTTTAAAAAGTCATCAAATCAATTTTTCATCTGTGCCAGATTGTTTGCTATCGTCTCTAGAGTTTGTTGATTTCGAAGTTGCGATTTGGGGACTTGCTGGAGAAATGAAGCTAGCAAGGTACTTCTTAGAAAAGTCGGCAATCCTCAAAAAAACTCACTCTCCGTTTGAATCATAAAAGTTCAAGAAAAGATGCATGTGACTTCCTCACGGAACTCGTTGCGATCCAACAACGCTCTGCCGAATGTGAAGTCCTCGTCCTTTAGTTGCGCTGAGTAGAGAGAAATTAGTGAAGATTTTGTGTAAAGACATAGTGAATATGCGTAGTAGCTAGTTTCATATTTGGATGTTTGGTATGGTTACTAATAGTCATATAATTGGATTTAGTTATTTTTGCTTTCATAGCAGCTATATGATATTATATGAAAGTTCAAATGCTTAGTCAAATCGAGCCATTAGTTCGGACATCCTAATTTAAAAGGTAAATAGCAGCAAATGAAGCATATAATCATTTTTTCCGCTAAATAACGTTACATATGCAAACATAAGCTTTTAACATCAAAAAATAAAATAAAACTTCGGCAAATTATTTTTAAAATCACCAATTCGAAACCAAAAATTAAATTTCAAAAGAGCATTAATTACTTAAAAAATATCTTTGTAAGCAAAAATTTGTTGTTTGATTCCTCTCTGGGAAAACAATTAGGCTACGTGCGAAAATATCGAACGAAGCTTCTCATGTTTCTAGAAAGAAAAAAATGTAAAGAGTCTCAGTTTGGTTGAGAGTAAATATATAAATACAAAAGATATAAAACAGTAAAATTATTTAATTAATTAATAAAATAGAAGAATGCTAAAAGCTGATATATATATCTAGGAATGATGTTAATTTGGAACAAAGCTCGAAGTCCGGTCCGGTCCGGTTTTAAAAACTATTAGATTTGGATTTTGTTATAAAAGCCCAAAAAAATCAGATTTTTTAGACTAAACCCATTCGGACTAAGCTTATTTGGGTTTAAGCTCGTATTCAGATTTACTTGAAAAGTTTTACACTTTATATTATAATTTACAATTTTTAAAAATTAAAGTTAGTGATTTTTTTATAATACTCTTTATTAATTTAAAACATTAATTTTTAGTTATGTCTTTATATAAACATCAAGTCTCAAACTAAACTAGTTTCAAGAAGCATTCTTACATTCAATCTAATGATTCTCATATGGATTCTCACATTCTATTACTTACTTACTTATTTATTTAATGATATTTGATATTATAATTTATATGGATTTACTAAGTCAGATTGATAAAACTATATTTTATAATTATTTAAATTTGAATTTAAATAACTATTTTTTTAGTTTACTTTATACTAGGTGATTGGCATGAAACATTTTAATTAAATTAAGTAATAATAATATATAATTTATAATAAATAAGTGATTGACCTGTTCAATAATATATTTGTATAAAATTTAAGTTTGTGAAAAAATGATTTAATAAATTTGAGAAATCGTATATAGCAAAAAAATATATATATAAAACTTAAAATACTTTTAAAAACTGTAAAATAAAATTAAATAATTCTTCTTTATTCTTTATTTTCTATTTTTATTCATATTTTACATCTTTTATATTTTATTATCTCATTCTGTCATATTTTATCCCATTTCTGGTTCGTACTTCTTGCTATATAATTGGAATACATTCACATATAATATAAACTTTTGTTCTTTATTTATAGTGGGACAAGATAAGATGATAATAAAAATAAATAAATTCTTTTTCTAAAAATTTGATTCCGCAAATTTCTTACAAACACTTGAGCTTATAAAATATTTTGCATAAGAGTTATCTGAGATAAGATTCTAAAAATCTCCAACAAAAAAAATGATTTCACAAATTTTCTACCAAAAACATGAATAAGTAACTTTCACACCAAAATAATTACATCAAAAATATGACCCAAAAACATTTTATCAAAATTTCCCTCGAAATAGTGAACCCATAAAAAAAAATTCGCCAAAACTTTATATTAAAAAGTGATTCCAAAAACTACCAGTAAAAATTTGATTTCATAAATTTTCTGCCAAATAAGTGAAACCATAAATTTTCTGCCAAAAAACTTACTTAAAAATATAATTTCAAAATTTTTTCTTGAAACCCCGATTTGAGAAATTTCTGCAAAAACATGAAATTGTAATTTTTTTACCAAAACATTTATTTTAGAGTATTTCATTTGATTTTGTGACTTTTACCAAATATTGTGAATCCATTAATAAGCAAAAATTATGATATCAAAAAAATTTCGGCTAAATAGGTTGCTGCAAATTTTTGGCTAAATACTTGAAATCCATAAATTCGCTGACAAAATTTTTGTGTCTAAATGTGATTTTAAATATTTTTGACAAAAATATAATTTTCTTAATTTTTTGTCAAAAAGTTGAGTATTTAAACTACATTCTCAAATTTTTAACATCAAATTTTATTTATAAATTAAATAATACCATGTCACAAGCCATGTGTACTAAAAATTGACATGTCACAATTACATCATCATTACACATCATCATTTCCATGTCACATTAAAATTGTTTGAACTAATGATATTAACCAATCAAATTAAAACAAATCAGCAATTTTCATTAAACTACATTTCAATTAATAAGTAGAAGATTTAAAATTTATTTTAATTTTTTTCTAAAAAACTTGAAAAAAACCCAAAAAAACTCAGTAATTTTATTAGGAGCAGATTGAACTTCAAATTATAGACCAAACCGAATCAGACTAAATTTTATGGATTTCGGATTGGGCCGGACCAGCCTGTTTGACATGCTTATATATATCAGATTTCGGGCTGGGCCAGGCCGGGCCAGCCTATTTGACATGCCTATATATATCATATAATAGAAAAGGGATTGAGACACATTCAAGACCTAACCCTAATTTAGCGAGAAAGTCTCCAATTCTGATCTCCGCCGAACCATTGCGAATCGAAGATCGAAATCTTTCTCCTGTATGATCTCTCTCCACCTCTTACCCCGAATTGTTTATTTAGATTTCTCTGTAATAGTTAACTCGCCGGATCTAATCGATAAAATAATGGTTAATGGATCATTTGTATCGTGATTTGTTTATGCTACCTTAAAAACCCTAGCCGCCAAGCAAGTTTAGTTTCTCTCTCTCTCTTTTAGTATACGTCTTTTTTTTTTTCTGGCGACATATTGAGTCTTCCGGTTGAATTTTATATGCTTTATTTTTGAGTTTGATGATTGCTACAAGTTGTGCAGAATAAATCTTCCGAAGAAATTACAAGAACATGGTTGGTTTCAAAAAGTTGAGTCGGATTGATTCGAATGAGGATAGATAAGCCAGTTACCTGATCATTTGATCTATACAAGAAGCTGAGACTAATGCCGTCAAGGTAGATATCTATCTCACCTCTGGTTTGGAAGTTTTTGAGAAAGCAACAAGCGTTTCGTCGAGAAGAAATAGCATCGGGATTTCTAAGATCATGGATATGAAAATATGTGACAGATCAATGGATCTGGTAAGTGGCTAATCCTGTCTTCCTTCTATCACCCGACTCAACTCTTTGGGTCATGCATTGGGATTACCAAGATCAGGGATATGACAATATGCAAAGACACTTTCAAGGTATACATACATAATGTAATATGTACATTTTCTTATCATGAAAGTTTGGGAGTTTTCTTCTTTTTTGGTTGCAGCTCATCTATCAATACTCGAGGTTAGAACCGCTGCCTAAGTTTGGTTATGTCCCGTCTCCATTTCAATTTCAGAGTATCCGGTTTGAATTGGTTACCATCCTTTCTTGAGAGCTTCCCATACTTGATATCCCTCATCTTGGTGAGAATCTATTAATTTAACCTTTTGAGTTTTTATTTTATTTTTCGTGATTTCTTTTCATTGCGTTTTAATCCCTTTTTTTTTTGCTCAGGCATGCCATGGTAATTATAAGAAATCGAATCAAACCAGTTTTTCATCTGTACCTGAGTGTTTGCTATCGTCTCTAAAGTTTGTTGATTTCGAAACCACAATATGGAGACTTGCTGGAGAAATGAAGCTAGCAAGGTACTTCCTAGAGAAGTCGGCAATCCTAAAAATGTCACTCTACCTTTGAATGCTAATATTTCAAGAAGCCATGACATCCTCAAGAAAATCGTTTGGATCCAAAGAGGCTCTACCCAATGTCCAGTCTTGGCCTCCTCTAGTTGCGTTGAGTAAAGAGAACAAAGTGACGGTTTGTGTAAAGACAGAGTGAATATGCATACTAGTTTCATACTTTTAGTGATCATAATCTATATATACTAAATAAAAGGAACTATTTGGGGTTCCTTAAGCTATCCACCTCAGCTTTTCAAACTACTCTAAAAATATGACACATCTGCAAAAAATAATAATACAAATTCCCACTTTAGATTTTTTTAAAATACACATAAAGTAAATAAATAGAACCAAAATTAATATAGTTAAATACAAGAATAAATAAAAATAAAATATTATTTATTCTATAGCATTAATATATACTCTTTTGTTTGTAATATAACAAATTAACAATAATGAAAATTCTCACTTTAGATTTTTTTGAAATACACATAAAATAAATAAATAGAATCATTAAATTAATATAGTTATTAGCAAAAACTAAATAAAACTATATATCATTTTAATCAGTAAAATAAATATCATTTAAATCTGTAGCATTAATATATACTCATTTTTATCACTAAAATTAATATAGTTACGAACAAAAGTAAATAAAATTAAAATATCATTTTTTAAATCAGTAAAATAAACATCATTTAAATTTATAGCATCAATATATACTTCTTTTGTTTGTAATATAACAATAATAAAAAATTTTACTTTATATCTTTTGAAATACACATAAAATAAATAAATAGAACCACTAAGTTAATATAGTTATTAGGAATAAGTAAATAAAACTAAATATCATTTTCGAAATCAGTAAAATAAATATCATTTAAATCTGTAGCATTAATATATACTCCTTTTTGTAATATAGTGAATATATTAGACAAGAAATTGCTCTAAAAAACTTAAATAATAGTTAATAGAAACAAGATTACAAAATAATAATTTCTAAAATAAAATTTAAAACATTTACAAATTATAAAAATCTAAAATATTCAC